AAAGTAACAATAATAGAATCAAAAAGTTTGGGCAAAGCAAAACCGCAAAGTGGTTGAGAACATGGAATATGGACATTCAAAAAATTATACAAAAGAAGAAACAGGAAACATAAACTATACATACATAAAAAACACAGAGAATAGACTCATTCAAGTTACAAATTACTTAGAAACAGAGCAAGGAAACTACCGAGAGAGACCAAAAAGAGAGGCTGATAAAAGTCTGTGAAGGACATTTCAGGATTCCAAGGAATGGAATTTTAAGTCTTCAATAATCTTCAAAAGGTAACTAGAGGCCAAATACATACCCAAAGAATAACATAAAAAGAATGAATTTAACACTACTCTGAGCCATGGAAAGTAAAAGAAACAGAAAACACCATGTGAGAAAGACAAAACAATCTGGTAATGCAAACCGACCCTGCTTCAATGGATACTTTTTAAATCCTTTTGAATGGAAAGAATTACAAGAATTCTAAAGAACAGCAAAAAATAGAAACAAAGCAAGGAATGCATGAAGTAAGAATGAACTAATGTAATTAGATGATAATGAACTGAAATACACTGCCAGATAGTAAGAAGACACGTTTAACAAACTATGGAGACAACCTATATCCAGAGATTAAAATTCCACCTTAAATTTTTTTGCAAACATGATTAAGAACCAACTTAACAAATACAGTGAACAGTGCTTAGGAGGACAATGCTGCTTCAAAAAAGGAAGAAGCACAATGGATGCCTTATTCACTCTTCAAACAATAATTTACAAACATAGAGAAAAGGACAGACCAATATTTATTTTAATAATTTAACACTCTAGCATCTATTTTTCCTTTCCAGACAATAAATACACACATTTTTAAGAAAACTGTTTTATTTTCTATATACTACTGGAAATCAATGTCTCATGTAATATTTACACGCACTATCAGGTGTGAAAATGAAAACAAATTTTGATGATGTTGTTTAGCTTGAAAGTATTAAACTTAAAAATACCCAGTAATCAGAGGTAAAATTATGCAATAAAACAAGTATTAGAAAAAAATACAATGTACAAAATATATAAATCAATGGGAGAGACTTTACCGAAATATGTAAAGATTAATAAAAAAATTAAAAGGATAGATCCAAAAAATACAAATCAAAAAAAACATTCCCATTGTAAAGTTCAAGGAAAAAGTGGCAAGAATGAATTGAGAGGAAGGACATTTACATAAAAAAATAGTTGTTATAATTTGAAAAATACAACAATGAAATTAGTTAAAAAAAAAGGGATAAACAGAGGAAGAAGGGGGAAGAAGCAGATAAAAAAAGAAGTACACTTATAAAAATAAAGGTAAATGGTACAAATCACAAAGTATAAAAATGATTTATGATATTCACATTTTAGACAGAACTTTGTCATAAATTTTGTAAATAAATTTGATTCCACTATGGTATTTAGGATATTGTTTGTCTTACATGTAATGTCTGTGATATTGATCTTGAATATTTTCTGGATTCATTATCCAATCATGTAGATCTGTCAAAGTTAAAAGAATGAGCAAAATCAGGGCAATGTCCTGAAATTGAGTTCAGTTTTCTACCAGTCTCCTTAACATTTTTAACTTGTTATTTTTTCTTTTTTTTCTTATTTAGAAAGCATGTTTTGTCTGTCTCACGTAAGAGGCAGAGCAATCACAACAATTAAGGCAATAAACTACATTTTCTTTATCTGTTAAAGTGATTTTATCCTTGATATTGCCAACTAGATTTTGATTAAGGTGCAATTTATTCCCAATTCTTATGTCAAATTTTAAATTAGAAAACTTCTTCCAAAGGAAATTATTTATTCTAGAAACATATGGTAAGGTGACAGTATGACATTGACTTGTGGGAGTTTTGCTTGACAAATACAAGGCCAGACTATCAGTTGATTGTTTATTTTGTTTTTTAAAATGCCTAAGTGCTTGTGAGGTACTTATGAAGAAAATTAGATGAGTAGTTGTGAGAATGTTCAATGGTCAAATTAATATCTTTTATTTTTTGCTTCAACTTTCCGAATGGATAGTACTAATTACACTCTTTAATAACACATAAATCTCATTTGGGGGTATTTTTTAAAATATATCTCTTGCTGTTAATATACACATTTCCAGCAATTTGTAAACACTATTGTGTTTGTGAGTTGAAGGGCTTCAAATAACTTCTAATGAAATCTTTCAAAAACAAATTTCTGTGTAAAGAGAATATATACTTCAAATTTACAGTAGCGCTTAAACGCATTTTCTTAAAAAACGGCTCCAAATTTTTCAAAGAAAATTGCCATTTAGGACGAGCTCTTACTGATCTTTAATATTGTTAAAATAATATTTCCGTTCTACTGTTACAAAACCAAAAATTAAGAAAATTTCAACAACAAAAAAAGTGCTTTGGGCAGAGATAGATGGTAGTTGGCAAGAGTATGTGACAAGTGCAAATGGCTAGTTAAGACCAAAGATAATAGAAAACTAATATAGGTCAGGAAAGTCTGCGCCATTCTGCTTCACCGCTAGTTTGCTTTCCCACTGTCGCTTATGCAGTAGAGAGATAGATGTAAATGTAACGCTGCGCGAAAGCACGGAGATTTTTCGGTTCAAAAACTGTATAATATCTGAACGGTAATATTATTTTATGAATATTAAAGAAAAGTAAAACCTCGTCCTAAATTGCTATTTCCTTTGAGTCTGTCTTCAATTTTGTAGTTAGGAAAACGCCGGAAATATTTTGAAATTCTCGAAAACTCAGTTATCCCTGAAAACAGGACCTATGCCATCTTTATAAGTGTATTTTACTTGATTCTGACAACAAATTTAAAGAAATATTTGGTGTTTTTTGAATTTTTTTTGAAATTGTCTGAGGGGTTACATGTACAATTTTTTTGAAATTGGGGGTTACATGTAGTTAGCCCCAAATTTTAACAATTTTTTTTTCAAAATCTCAAAGCTTCGACACGAGCCAGATGGACAGGGGTTTCTTCAATTTGAAAGAAAAAAAATCGTACGTATGGTTTAGGTTCTAGTGGTTTTCACAGACGGACATACATGTGAAAAGACAGACGAATTTTTAGAACGTGTTTATTATTTCACAGTTCTTTGTGTAAAATGTGTATATTATTTCATAGTTCCTTGTTCGTTTCTTATAATAGCTTTTGTTACATGTTTTCAAATTAATCTTTTGGAAATTATTTGAAGTCTATTTGAAGTGAATACGCAGCTGGATGCTACAAAATTACAATTTATATATTATTTCATGTTTCCATTTATGATTATTATTTATATTGTATTTACGTTACTTCAATATAAATTGCATCCTTTAATTGTGTTAAATGTGAAAACGAATAGATGAGCGTCCATTGTTAGTTGTTGTTACTCGTAACGTCACAGATAAAAGAAGGCGATAATGGCGGCTGCTTTTCGTTCGCGGTAATAAAAACGAATACTTTTATTTATTTGTAGAATTTTACAATTCTACAGTGATTAATAATTTCTATGAATTTTTTTTATATATTTGTTTGCCAACGCTATCAATATCGTATTATTTATTAACTTTCAATTATGTTACTTTCAAGGATATTGCTTATTTTTAGCACCAACGTTCTACGATTTCAAATGAGTTTTACAAAAAACAATTCGGAGAGAAATTGAGGTATAAATAGTAGGTTACATAACCATTACTAATGGCGAGAATTTACGTGCTGTTTTAGCGCCACTAGTTTTATATTAGTCGCTAGAGATACACATGCATGCGTGTGTCAGCGTTCGGAAAAAGGATTCACGTTTTCGATTCTAAATTAAACAATAGTAGGCGTTAGTCGTGTGATAAAATAAATGACAACAAATGTTAAAAATTTACGAAAAGGGGAACATTTAAATTACAAAGGAGGATGAGAAGACAATATTGACGTCGATGGAGGACTGATCATGGATGAATACCACATAACAATAAATGATGGATAAGTGGAGGAATAATGGATGAATACTGAGTGTTAATCTATGGACTGATCTCCCAAATGGAGGACGGTTGGCAACCCTACAATGTAATGCCACCGTCCATGTGCCGGCAACTACGCGCTACACTAAGCCGATGCCGCCGCTGGTGAATAGTATTATTTATTAGTATTGGTGAATAGTATATCTCTTAATTGTTTTATTTTCTCGTATATTGCCTTATTCCTCGCACAATACCTTATAATGCATACCTTATACAATGAATTCAATGCCAGAAATATTTTCATTTGCAGTTTTGAATAAAAATCTGTTGTTTGAAACTATTTAAATATCACACCAAATGTTCTACGATTTCCACTTGTAAACCCATGATTATTGAAATGTGTTAATTCGGAAAGAAATTGTTATAAATAATATTATAACAATTACTAAAGGCGAGCAAGTATATACATATAGTATAGTTCGCAATGATTATTAGTCGCTAATATTTAAAAACATATATTGTGCAACACAAAAGTTGTTCGCTATGATTATTAGTTCAAATATAATTACATTAAAAACTCATAGGTGTGTGAGATTTTTCGAATGAATTCCCTCGATTATAATTACCCGATTATTGGTCACAATAAAAGATTTAGAAGGCGACACGTTTAATGAAAAGGAAATTATTACAGGAATAAACAAGTAATGGAAAAAACGAATTCGGTTTCGAAGTTTTATTAAGGGGTTTCGTTTACACTTTTTCAGTCACTAGAATGAGTGAGGCAAAAATACGTCTTACGTGTCACAATTCTGACATAGTGTAAAACCACAGAACAATAAAGGAGTGTAAATCTCCTTAACACAAAACGTATATAACGTGTACAAGTATATGAAAATAATTACATATATTTTATAAATTAATTATATAGATGTGTATTCCACAATATAAATACCGTTATATACGTTTTATAATACATTTAGAAATTCTTTAATTTACATACCTCTCCATGTATTGTAAACATAAAATAACCATTATTTGACTTATATCCTTTTTGTCGTTTTGGTGGGTTTCGTAGCGCTATCTAGTTGAGAATGCGTAAGACCACCTGGCAACGGTGTTTTGATTTCCCCCGCCATTGATCTATTTGTAAACGTTCTTTGGAATTTGTGTAATATTCTATGGGAATAATTAAAGTTTCCAGGTGTGACCGTGACGTGGTTGGACAAGGTGTCAACCGGAATTTGATGTGCATGGCGTGTGATAGATATATTCACAGGCATCAAGTAGTACAATAATATAACACCTCGGATCGCTAATAGAGGCCTTTCTTATTAATGATATACTGACACAATTATAATTAACAATGCATTCAGTGCTAACGAGAGGAAATGCTATTTTGGCATACTCGTTGAGTGTCTTAGCAGTTTTGACTTTTGTTTGCTTCATTTCTACGGTGTTCATTGACTATAGAACTAATGCAACAATGAACACTGTTAAAGTGGTTGTGTAAGTATTTTCATCGTAATGTAATTTCTATAGGGCAGGCCTAATTCATGATTGACATAACCTCAAAATCGAATTTGCGGTTTCAGGAAAAATGTTGCAGATTACAGTGCATCACGTGAGAAGAACGATCTCGGATTTCTGACATTTGATCTACAAACTGATATCCTTTCCTTGATAGTTTTAAGAATTTCATTTCTGTGCATGTATTGCCATTACAAGTATTTTAGTATGTTTAAGTGTGTTTTTAATATTTTTCTCCAACTTAAAAGTATATAATAATTCTATTAAGTAAATTTGTAAGCAATAATTTGTTATGCTTATAAATTTTGTGTGATACCTTAGAAACAGCAGTTGCCATATGGCATGTAATAAAACTAATTAATATAGTGTTCCTTAACATTATGTAAATCTTACCCATTTATTCAACTGGAACGTCAAACAATTGTTCTTGTACCTTACTGCAGAGTATTCTACACCTAACAACCAGCTCAATCAGGTACAATCTACTTTCTACTGTTGTTGAGAATAATTGAAGTGGGTACGCTCTCCTGCCTTAAGTTTATAATTGCAAATATATTTAATTTTGTTTTTTAATTAAAATAGGTGGTTCTGTGGGATAAAATAATTCAGCGAGGAGAAAATGCTGTATTAGACTTCAAGAATATGAACACAAAGTATTATTTCTGGGATGATGGGAATGGTCTCAGGTAAGTATTACTGTGTGTGGCAATGATATATAGTGTCTTCTCTTTTCTTTACCATTTTTTTCTTTTTATTTCAGGGGAAATCAAAATGTAACATTAACATTGTCATGGAATATAATCCCAAATGCCGGTTTACTTCCTAGTATATTTGCTTTAGGATCACATGCATTCCGTTTTCCAGTTGAATACACTACAGCAAGAGTGTAGGAAAATGCAGGTTACCTTCAGTATGTGTTTTTACCTTTTGTAAATAAATGGGATTTGTAATCTTCAATTTGTTTAATAGGAAGGATACTTAACGTGTGATTGTGGTTATGGTGATTGGGTGAAAAATTGTGCATAAATCATTATTGCCTGATAATGATAGGCTTGCGCCATAATCATATGTTTCTAAAGAAATTGTTTGTTTTGTAAGAGTGTTTGAATTTTTAAAAAATGTTCATTTCAATAATTTGTTTTTGTATTTTTATTTATTTGTACACCATGTTTTTTTAAATTTAAAGAGCAATGTTAATTTTATTTTGAAAATTCAAGATAGTATTATTTTCTTCAATTTGACAAGTTCATGGGTGTATAGTGCTTTATAAAGCATTTTGAAGAACAGAAAAATGTGTGTGTAATTGTTTGCGAAGGAACTAATAAAGGATATTGTAATCATGAAATTTTTAATTGTGTAAGTAAAACAAAAAAAATAAGTTATCCTTTAGTCAGAAAGAAAGTAGTTTTCTAAGGAGAGAAACAAAAAATGTGTATATGCCGAACTTTTGAGAGGTTTACTTTGCTCAAGAACTTGGGTAAATGATGCCAGAAACTTGCATCTAGATTTTGTAGTGTTTTGATGCTTCTTGAATCATGGTGCAAAGTCTTGACTTTTAAGGTTTTTCAAGATATCTATGCCAATCTGTACGGTCTGTGGTGACATTGGCATTGTGCAATTATTTATTCTCCCATCTATACTTGCCATTTCTCCTATTGCCAATAAACCAATTTAATTCAAATTGATGCTGTCTTATTATGTGTAATATATTGAAATAATTCTGGCTCTCATATACAATAATGGTAAAGTATACCCATTCCTGCCTCTTAACTCCTAAAAGCTGTTTAAAGAATTGACAATCTCAGTAGGTCAATTGGTTTGGAGCATCTGGGCATATTTCTGGTAGATCCCAGCTATGGCAGTGAATTCATTGTATAGTCAAACATCGTTTGTAATAATAATAGTGATATATGTTACAAGTTGCAAAGATCTTTTAACTGTAACATTCCTAGTTTGCATTCTGTACAAGAAAACATTCACACACTTGGATTTAATTTTTAAGAATTCAAAGAAGTAGAGACTTAATTGTTGCCCTAGTGAATACACAATTTTCAATATTTATCAAAATTACTGGGTGGAAACCTACTTATGAGCCTTGCAATCTGAAATTTTGTCACGAAACATGTTCTATGGATGTAAGCAAGTTAATTAATTTTTTAACAAAGGTGCTAAAATTCAGATTAAATACAGGTACGCTTTTTATAAAATTTTGCAATCCAATTTAAAAAAGTGTGGGAGAATTATATGATAAATTTAAGGGAAACATGGTGCTTTTGAAGAAAAGAAAAATTGTCTAGATGAAAATTGTTAAATGCAAAATATCTGTGGTTAATTTGTTTTTTATTGTAGAAAAGAAACCTTAGGGAGCATGAACTAGGACCTACTTTCTTCAAATTTTGAACTAGTGCTAAGAATGCCCATTTTTTATGTTAATTTTCTTACAAAAGTCTTGGGTTTTTCAATTTTTTGTGTGTAGGGGGTGTTTAATCTCTGTAAAAGCAAATCTCTTGGGGCCATTGGCTGTACTTGTGATATTATTTATTTAAAAATTTCCATTACTGTTTACTTTCTCGCTCCCTCTTATGCAATAGAGAGAAAGTTATGTAATGCTGTGCGAGAAAACTACGATTTATTGGCAGAAAGACTCATTGACGGGTCCTGGTTACGAAAAAAAGTGGATAAATCCAGTTGCTAAGTTTAGGGGGGGAATACTGTAACACGTGATGTAGCCACAATCCAAGTTTTGTGGGTCCCTGATACCGAAAAATCAAGGGATGGCAAATCGTCTGTCCGACCTTCCGTCTGTGAACAATGCTAGCAATTAGGCAAACCCATTCAGCTAATTTTCTCCAAAATTTATATTCCTTGAATGATTTGATGTCGCGTCTCCTTGAACTTGAAACCAATATTTTAATTTTAGTAGGTACTTTACATGAATTTTAAAAAAAAATTTGCTCCTTCAATTTTGATTAAATTTTGTTGTTGGATAGTGACACGAGTTTTAAGAGAATGGCAAAGATCTCATATTGGTTGAAAACTGATTTTTCGAAAATTGAAAAAATTCAAAATATTTTTCAGTGTCTTCCTTCAACTAAAATTTTAAAGATAGTTTTTTTCCTTAATGAAATCTGTTCCTTAGAAGTAGATTTTGATATAAGGTCATGTGAGCAGCTAAAACATACGTCGTATTTGTTTCAAAATGGATATTCCCTAGCCGATCTGGCTGGAATAGAAGTGCTGCGATTTTGAAAAACGTTCTCCAATATTTGCGGGTACTTTACATGAAGCCCCAGGGACATTTACAAAATTTTTGACCAAAAATGGCTTCAATTTTTTGTCTTCAAATTTATTGTAAGAATAAATAAAATACATGTGAATAAATAAAATACAGGGTAGCATAGCTCTGATTTTCACTGTTAACTTGATAATTACGAATGTTAGAATTATTTTGGTCTCTCCCTACAACTACAAAATTGAAGGTAAAGAATTTTCCTTCAAATGAAATTTATTGTCCATAATTGGTTCATCCATTCAAGTCTGGTAAATGTTTGTGGAATTTTTAGTTTTCATGCAATATGCGTAATTTTAAAAATAACAAAACAAGATTTTCTCAAAAAGTCTCCTCATTTTTTCTTTAAACTTTAGTTAGGGATATTGTCAAATGTAGTGTAAGATGACATAAAAGCAATTTTTCCCTGTTTTTTAGTTTGACTAGCCTTTTACCTCAATATTTACGTTAGCGGCGATTTGTTTACATTATTGCATTTATGTTTACATGTTCTTTAAATAATGTCATATTTCAGTTGTCAGTTTCTTAAAAACTTAACAGTTTTCTGTGAAAATGATCTAAATTTCTGAGTTTCACAAATGCTTATTCGCCATTTTCTCAAAAACCACTCCAATTTTTTTCTTAAAACTTTTCGTACAGATAGTGCTATTTACGCTAAATATGTTCTATTTACGTTTAATATGACATGAAATGAATTTTGCTGCATTCTGTCTTATGCCATTAATATGCACATTTCCAGCTGTTTGTGTTCATTATTGAATTTGTGAGTGAAAGTGCTTCCAATGAAGTTTTTAGATCACAAAATGATTCCTATGAAATGAGCTTCTAACTTCTCATTTACACTAAACCTTTAACAATTTTTTCTTAAAAATTGCTCCAAATTTTTGTACGAAAATTTCCGTTTACAATGACGTTTTATCCTTCTTTAATATATTTTAAGTAATATATTGATTCTACAATTTAGAAACTGAAAAATTGAGAAAATTAAAAAAAAAAAAGTACTTTGAGTGGTGAGAGATGGCAGCTAGTTAGAGGATGAGGCTAAACCCGACCAGAAATTAGAACTAGTATGAGAAAGTCTGCGCTATTCTGTTCCAGTCATAAGAGAGTTCAAATAATTTTATGAGTATTCTAATTTTTCGTAGAAAGTGATATTATTGCAAAGAATTTGTTAGCAGAATTCAAATTATACTTCTTGATTAGTGGGATGTTCTTTTGGAGTTGATCTTGCATTACTGTGAGACTAGACAATACATCAGGAACTAACCCAGTTATTTTATCATTGATTGTAAAGTAAAGAATGATGAGAAAAAATAATTTGTATGATGACCCAGGGATTTTCTTTTGTTTCATGATTTAATTTAAAAGTCTTATACCTCTACTTAATATCTACCACTATAACATTCTTCAAAACTTTGAAAGCATTTTAATTGTCCACTAGGCTGTGCAAGTTTAAAAATGCTAATTTCAAACTTAATAGCAAGGACATTAGATTTTACTTTCTTGCAACTACATACATTAGGTGGCTGGATTATTGGAGACAGGGCTCAGATTTTTGTGTTTTGTATTTTAACTGCATTTTTCAAATAAATTATTGGTCTCATAGGTATTTTTTATTCATAAGAGTGTATTATTGATATCATAAAAACAATAAGATATTTAGGTAAAACTATTTTTAGATCAAATTAATACTATTGTTCAATGACACCACACTTTGATTCAATAATAGCTTCAATGCATCACACAGGTTCTCTATACAGTCTTTTGCATTTTGTTGCATTTCATTGTTGTGATTCCATTCTTTGTTGAGAATTACAATTAACTGACTTTGGTGGTGATCTCTTGCTTGGTAATCAGCCTTTTCGTGTGTTCCCACATGTCTCTATAGGGTTCATAACTGGTGAGTTTCCCAGCCAGGGCAAAACTGTAATCATCTCCTCCCGGGAATGCAATAATACGCCTGGCTTTGTAGCGCAGTGCTAAATCATGCATAAAAATGTATTCTTAATCACCGGGCACATCACCATTTTTTGAGCTCTGGTATTAGCAGAGTTTCTAGTATGTGTCTCTTGCCTCATGGTCCCTTGTGCAATGTATAGGTGCCTCGTATACCCTTTGCTGAGATCATAGTCCAAACCTGACACTGACCAGTTGTTTAACCCTCTCTACTAGTAGTCTGGGTGGAACTCTTCCCCAGGGCATCGCCGGACAAATTAACTTTAGTCAAATAAAGTTGGAAACATTGATTCATCAGAGAAGGATGCCTGTAAAATATTACAAAAAATCATTGTTGATGAAATGCACTAGTGCTTGAGATATATAAAAGATTGTTAAGACTATTACAGTCATATGTCAGTGTTGTCTGTCCCTTCGCAGTTGTTTTTTCATGGCCTGGGGGGGCATGGTTTTTTGTTTGGGTGACGACCGATCAGGGTCTCTTCGGCTAACAGTCTGTGGACTGTCCTTTTGCAAACTGTTTTTCCCTTGGCATTTATCATTGTAGTCAGACAGGCAACACCCTTTTAACAATTATTTAGACAGATATACCTGATTCTATCTGTACAAAGACTGGTGATATCTTTCCTGCCATATTTACCCACATGGCTTGCTTCCAGGGGTTTGTCCTGATCAATTTTTATTTTTATTCTGTTAACAGTTTTTGAAGCACCTACAATTGTTGCTATATCTCCCTTTCAATGTGTCCAGTGAAGTAATGGTGTTTGTATTTCTTCAATTTTCCTTGGAGACATGTCTAAAGCCTTACCCTACTAAAAAATAAAAACTTTCAGGTAGTGATGTTACATTGTAATCAAAAATTAAATTCATTCATAAAATTTACTAAAAGTAATGCAGTAAAGAACTGCTTACCTTTTGATTATTTTAGAAAGGGAAAACTTGCAAAAAAAAAAAAATTTCTATGTCCTTATTACAGCACCAGTTTTCAATAAACTTCTGCCATATAAGAAGTAACATCACTTATATTTTAAAAAATGCAGGATTTCAGTGTTCCACTTATTAAAAACAATAGTAATTATGACAGTAATACGACAAATCATATCAAATACTTCGCTCAAAAATGGTTTAAACTAGCAATTACATATATCTATGTACTGTTCCTTATAACTTAGCCACTTGGTATGTAATATAGAGAAAGTTATGTAATGTTGCAGTGAAAAACAGCAATTATTCATCAGGAAAAATTCATGGAGAGCTCCCTGATACCAAAAATAAGTATAATTCTTGTTCCTATATTCAGTACATTACTTCCTCTAACCTACTGTTTAGTCAGAATCCACATTTTGTGGGTGTTTTATACAGAAAAATTTGTTCTCGGCAAAATGTTTGTCTGTAAACACTAGTGGCTCATCTGTCATTGCCCCTGATTTGAAACAAGTTTTAATTTTTTGAGGTACTTTACATGGAGCATCAAGGAGATTTTCACATTTTTTATTATGCTAAATGAATGTTAACAAAAAACCCCAGCATTTCTTTGTTCTTTCCAGTTTCTTTGAAATATTTGAATTTTCAAAAATTGTACAAGTAAAAAAAAAATTTGGCATCTTGCCACAACTACAGTATTGAAAATAGATTTTCACTCTTAATGAAATGTGTCATCAAAATTATATTTAAACGGGGACTTATATATTTTTTCAAAATAATGACACAAAAACTCAATTACATGAACAACCTCCACTGTTGGAATTTGGAATTCTGTTGGAATTTGTGTTAATGAGGGCTTACTGTATATCACTCATGTCGGTAATATTTGCATCTTCAGAAAATGCGCAATGGTGCAAAAGAAACTGCGCATCTTCAGAAATGTACAACAACATCTCAAAATCAACTCCAAATGTTTTACTGAAAACTTTCCATTTTGATGTTTTCTTTTGATTGTTTGAAAACTATACAAAGGTAATATTTTAATATATCTCTCATGTCATTAATATTTACATTAAAGGCATTTTCTATACATTATTGCATTTGTGAATGGATTATGTCTTATGAAGTTTCTCAAAAACTCAAAATTTCTCTTTGAAAATGAGCTTAAAAGTATGCATTTTCAAAAACATTCAAACATTTTCTCAAGGATGACACCAATTTTTTAATGTTATTTTGAATACAAAAATGTGTTTTACTTTTCTGTAATAGTATCTTATCAGAAATATATCTTAACAACATATTTCAATTCTATTATTAGGGGATAGAATAATTGAGATAATGTGAAAATGTTTTGGCACTGATAACAGATGAGACAAGGGTGGGGTAATAACAAAATTCTAGCCTAAAGAGATTAAAAAACTAACTAGTGTGAGAAAGTCTGTGCCATTCTGTTGTATAACTAATTTGATCTTGAAAATGTATTCTAAGTTAATGTCTAAAATCTAATAAGGATAATAATGTTCATCTGGTCTGGTATTTGACATTCTCACTTTATTCGAAGATTAATTTAATGCTTTTGATGCCAAATTTTTACCTCCCTTCATTGAGGATATTTTCTGACAAAAAATATCTTTTTGAATTTTGAAGGGAGGGAGATATTCATATTTTGCAAAATTTATTCATATTAGCTCATTATTAGAAATAACGTGTCATAATTTTAAATTGAAAACACTCTGTTTTTAAAATGTAATAATAAATTATTTCATTACTATGTGTCTAATTAATGAATTGGGTGAATTGAAACAAATGTCACTGAAATTAATAATAGTGATATTTTGTTTAAGTTAATGTACTGTAAGTAAATGTGGTTGTATGAACTTTTATGATAATAAACAAGGCTCAGATTCTGATAACATGTCATCTTTCCATTGGAGCATTCTAGACGTAGCCAACTTGTAAATGAAAGTTATTCACGAGATATAGGTCATAGAAATGTATAGTTATGGGGTCATTCCTTTTGTCATTTTTCAATTTTTAGGTCATTTGATGGACCTTGGTGTTATTTGACGCATTTGGTTTCCTTTTTTTGTTTTATGGTAGCGAATATTTCTTGAATTTACAATGACACAATCAAACAAAGTTTTTATTGTATGATTACTTCATGACAAAATTCACTACTGCAGTGGACTCTGTTTTTCAAACTCTCAAAATTATACAGTTCTTCCGGAACTTCTTCGACCATTCAAAGCTGACGATTGGAAAGGAGCTAAGGATTACATTTTCTCCTAAAATAAAGACTTTATATTAAATATACTTTTTATTTAAAACTGTAAAATTCATTGAATTTTCATACAAATTTTGTGGAATGTTTTAAAAAATTAGGTAATTTTCCCTTTATGTTAAGTCATTTTTAGGTAATTATCAAAGAATTTTTAGATCATCAGAATTCGGTCCCTGGTAATAAACCTAGATGTAGCAAGAATAGAAATAAAGTTATCTGATAAAATTGTCTGTATCAATTTCAAGTTTCCTGAAGAAAATGTTTTAAATGATGGTTCATTACAAAGAAAACATGTTAAGCATTCCACACAATAAAATTTCAAATCTTTGATATAAATACTTGTATCCTTGATCACAATTTAACATCTTTAATTACAAAATCAGACTTAATTGGATTTAGAAGATACAATGTTTAAATTTCATAGTAACCTTTTTTATATCAAAGTAATTTGCACTTACAACATTGTCTCTTCTTGCTGAGGGAAATTACCGAATATTTCCTAGACCTACTTGTACTTTGCTCCAGCATCCAGCGGGTGGAACAGCTGGCAACTTGCCGTAGGCAACATCTAATTCATAGGAACCCTGAACAAGTCATATATTGCAAAGTGAGCACAGAAATAAATTTCAATTACATTATGGCTGAATTCACGCATATGAAAGCATGGAAGATGATTTAAGTGTTAATAACTAAATGAAAACTAATTTTAATGTGTATTTTATATTATTTTAAATAAATTGTTATGAGTGAAAGAATCCTGATCCCTGATTTTTGAAGAAGTAAGATGATGTGCAAATAATTCTATTTAAAGCACAACTAACAATAAATTATATAAATGTATAGTAACGTAATATACGTAGGATATTGTTTCAAAGAAGTGTCTCCTGTAATCTCAAACCAAACCATTTTCCTGGACCCCCCCATGTAAAATACCCAACAATTATGTTGGTAAGTTAACCCAATTTACCCTCCAAACTTCTCTCACAATAGTAAATAATGTATTTAAAAAAAATTAAATTATCAAAAAGATATTCATTAAAACCACTTTTTACTTTACATTCCAATAGTTTTTCTGTTTCAGTAATAAAACAGATATACAATAATGAATTAAATGAGAATTGAAACTAATGATGACAATATTCTAGTCTGCCCACTAAGGGTGATTTAATTTTAATTAATTTATTTGGAATTGAATCTTAAATTGACCAAAGGAAATGACAGAAATAAGAAATATAAAAACTGATAACAATTTCTGTCTATAAAATTGGGCTTAATAAAAAGATTTAGTAGACCTATGTACTAAATCAACATTCATTACACAATACAAACTCGTACACTATAAACATGTACTTTTTCCACGTTTCTTCTAAATTTATTTTCACTTAATTCATTTGAACTAATAACAAAATAATTTAACATGAAAAATTGAGATGTTCAGGATAATAACAGTTGATTCCAAGGGAGCTTACATTATCAGTTAGAAGTATGAAGGTGATCTCCTGCAATATACCTAACATATGCTGAAACATCAAATGAATTTCAAAAATTTGACTCAAGTGTATGTGAACATGAATAAAAACTGAAAAGTTATTTTTCTCAAAGGAACTTTGGTTGGCATGTGCTATTATTATTCTGAGCACCTCCGAGGTTTTCTGTCGTTGCCTCAAATGTGGAATTTCTTATTTATTTGTATCCTTGCAGTGAAAAATTATGTATATGCATAAAAAAAAATTGTCCGACATTCAGCTACTGACTTGCATTGAGAGAGATCCATTGCTTCATTTTTCTTCATAGTGGAGGGTTCGAATTAGTGGAATGAAATTGTATGGTATAATTAGAATTTTTAGTTCTGGTAAAGAAGCAGGAAAGTCCAAAAGCATCTTCAAGAATGGCAACTTTTCAATAAATCAGAATTACGTTAATATATAAAAGAAGCAGCTTTATTTTAATAAATTGAGTGGTAAAACCAAATTAAATCAAGTGTTCATTACACAAAGGAAATTGGCTAAGAATATTGCATCATCGTTATGTAGTTAAGAGATGGTAAATTCAAATAAATGTCCTTAAGTACTTCTATAGTACACCAGAAGCCATAGACATTGTGTTTATTGGCAGTAAAATTTCAAAATTTATTTTCATACATTTATTTGATAACTATGTACTTTTGAATGCATGTCAAACTGCATCAAGTGTTAATAAAGTCATGAATCAACACACCTTTGTTCAATTTGGAAGTAGTTCTCTAAAGGTAGCACATCTGTTAAAGTGTTTAACATAAGCCGACATCTTAATCCTACGCCCAAAAACGTGATTGTCATTTAATACACCTTCCAGATTTGTGGCTGCTCTCTAATATGTTCAATGGAAAGTGAAATGAACATTAAATGTATACAGGTATAATAATGTCAGGGTTGGGCAGTATTTAAATACTTATCCTTTATATTTCAAATACATTTTATATTTGAAAATTATTTTAGTCCTTTGAATGTGTATTTTAGAGATTATTTAAATATATAAAATAGGTGTAAATAAAATTTTAAAAAAATCCCTCCTTAAATACAAATGAAGATAACGAGGATAGTTTCTTCTTGTTTGATTTTACTAGTGAATGGATCTCAATGAAATACAATTAAAATCCCTTTTCAACAGTTGAAATTAAATTCTTTTCACTTTTTAACAATAAATCTAAATTATTAAAAATGCTGGGAAATTATTCGACATTAAAAACTTGTTTATTCCTTGTAAGACTAATATATATTCGTCCGTGGCAGATCACTGACAATATAATACTAAGAAACATTGTCTTTCAAACTACTTTCCTAAGAACCTGTGAGAAATAATTAAAGGAAGTAACATGAAGTAAATGTTGAATTTAAAATTAATGGCAAGTCATAACTGAATTTTATTTTTCCAGTTTTACTTGATCATATATGTACATTCAGAAAATCATTTCTCCCTAACACCTACTTTGTTTGATTCTATTTGTTAAAATGGAGACTTAATGATGTTTAAATAAATAATCTGACAGCTAAATACAAGATGTAATAAAATTATCAATACAAAGATCGTAAATTATACAAACAAAAATTACAAATTCTACAGTAGTGTACACATGGTACTTGTGTTAACACTTCGATAAATTATAATGGCACATTATTCATTACAATTACATACAGTTTGACCAGTTTTCACATTTAAGGAATACTGTACACATGGTAAAGATAACATTATTATAACAACATTATGAAACAAACCGTTAGAATCACTTTGAACACAAGAATATAATTGGTCCTTATAACAGAAAGGGCAAGCTATTGCACAATTATCAGCTGTACACCGATTCTAAATTCTATGGATTTCTATTAAACAAGATTTACATTCAAAATTCACATCCAAGAAATTAACACGACGTGACTCTACAGTATCTTTGTGAAAATGGTTCAACTTAAAAGACTGTTTGAAATATACACAACAGTATTTTACAATTATCTTGGGGTGCTTACTATGACAATAACATAGTCATGAGATTAGCAAATGCTACAAAAAAAAATTACAGCATTCCAAGAAATAATTAGTATCCCCAAGGCGATAGAAAATACAAATTTATGCACAATATACTTGTACAATAATGCACTGCTACTGGTTCCTCAAAGACAATTCTCTTGAATTTGAACATGTGAATGTCCAAACCAATTCCTCTAGTTTGATATGCAAAATATCCAAACCCATAAAAGTTACTAGTTTATATTAAGAGTTTACCCAACGTAAATATAGTGAAAAATCCAAGTTTCCTCTGAGATGTATTAATTCAATATACATACCTTTAAACTATTATGCATATATTTCAAATTAATTTTCAAGATGAAAAAACTAAGTTGGAAAATGCTTTCTAGAGAAATGAGCTTGTTTCATCAAAATACATCATTTTTCCTGATTCATATGGACACATTCAGGATCAGTAAAGATCATCAGTACAAGTTTCTAGATTTGTACTGAAGGAGATTCATAATGGATTCAGGATATAGTTCATACAAAATAGACATTCTCATCAAAATTGGCCACAAACACATGGAGAGAAACAGTGGCAGACAAGTTACAGTGAATGTATACACAACATTACAAATTTGGTTATCACTGTCATAATGTTATCCTAAATATCTACATAAGGAGTTTACATTATAATGATGACCAAAATGTGGAGGTTGCATGATTTGTCTTTCATAGATTTTCATTGGTGCTACAGCATCAACAGTCTACTTTTTTTGTCAGGAAAGTGGTTCATTCAATTCTGTTTGTATTTCTTTGTCTTCTGCTTCAATTCCAAGTAGTGAATGCCTTATGGAACCATATTTACCTGATATTTCCAATAAATCTCGTAGCCCCTGAATACAAAATTATTATTAGTTCCTCTTTTACTTAATAAATGATATAAATACGAAAGATGTATTAACGCTACCTTATTTTCTGTAGTTAACCTGCTCATTAATTCCTGTTCTTCTAGAGCACGTTTTTCATCCATTTCAGCAGCTTTTTCCATGACAGCAGCCATTTCACATATCTTATCTGCCTGGTCACATATAACCTAGAAATAAATACATAATGAAAAACTTCAAATAATGAATAATGAATGTATCATGCCTCCTAAACTTTCAAACTTGCATACAAAAATGACACACTATAATTTACATGCCAAATGTACTTGACAAATGAATTACCCGAGAATAATTGCTGCTATGAACGTTATTAGCTTGCACTTTACTGCTTTCAATAAGCTGGGCAACCTGTTGGCGATACTTTGACATAATTAGTTCCATTGCATTTTGATGTTCTTCCAGTGCAGCTCGAAGTTCCCTATTTTCTTGTTGTAATTCCCTCAAATGCCGATTCTCTTGTTGAATACTTGCTACTAGAACACTATGCGGTTTCTGTCCAGCTGCTTCATTTAATTCAGCAACCTCTTCTTTGTACTACAATACAAGAATATTCTAAGGTAAGTTTATGAAATGCATCACACGGATAAAATATTAATTTAAAAGAATCTCTTGCACCTGTTTCATGGCATCCACTTGATTGAAGGTGGACTGTGCTTGAGAAATAAGGTTGTCAGCTGCAGAATCATGTTCTTTTAGCCTACTTGCTAGTCGTTTGGCGTCGAGAATAATTTGCTGAATGGTAAGAGACATCTAGAGGGTAAGATAAAATGACAAATTAACATTGTATTTCAGAGTTAAGTCCATTTATTAGTCATCTGTGAACTCTTTATTTTGATAAACACCAAGTGAAAGAGTAAAAATGTCCTCACCATACCTCCTGGTGGCTGATTTGTAGAAAATAATACACGTTAACTCACATGACAAAATTACAAAACATTTAACTATCACCACACATCCCACTCGAACTCAAATACTATGTAAAGCTGATACGAACATAAATAGAAAGTTAGAAGTATAGTACCTCTGCTGTTATTCCAATTTCTTTCTCACGGGCTAACAACTTAAATATAGGCGACGCTTACATGTTGAATGCTACGAATTTCACTTCACTGACAATGATTTAGCTATGACAAACTCTACAGTTTCATAATCACATTCTTTCGAAAACGATGTGATCTTATCCTCACTTCAATGAGATCGTAGTACGCACTGTACAGGCATATTTTTATCAATATGTGGCAATACTGGACAAACAACGGAGATCGTAGGGGCTGGATCTGACAAGATGGCAGTTGCGTTGCTTTCTATGTGTCAAAACATCCAGAGAAATGTCGTGTAGTTGTAAACTGTGCATTGTATATTGCTGAATTGTTTCCAATATCGTTGTCGCAATGGAGCTTATTAAAACACCAAAGGTAGGTCTTCTATGTTTTAGCAGAATAAGATATATGTGGTGGTTACTATCAATAACCTGCCGACCTGTACGCGGCCTAAAAATATTTTTGTTGTATACAGACCTTTGTGTCATTGACAAAAGTTTTATCTTGATTATGTGTCCACTTAAGAGTACCGAAAGAAGCCTATGGCTCTGTTGTAGTCATGGTTCTTTCAATTCATGTTTCACTTTCCCCTGTACCCGAAATGCTTCTTTGCGGAAATGAGGTTATATTACCTTCGAGTAATGTCATTTTTTGGTCGTGCCAGGAAAGAGTATTGAAGTTAATTACTTTTGGTTTGGCAAGTGGGGATAAACGATAGCCCTACAGAATAGTTGTTATTTGGATAACATTTTATCGCTGTACTAAAAATATACTTATTTTGCCCTTTTTAATGAATAATATTATTGTCAATGAAGATATTTGTGTGTAGTTCCCAAATTGGTTGTGGTAAAGTAATACTATATTCTCGTATAGAATAATAAACAATACAATCAACGAGCAGTTTATATATTTGGACTATCAGACAATCGTTGGCTATATAATCAACCACTATCCGCAAAATGTTATGACAAGTGACGCGGTAAACGCTTTTTACCCTCCTCTCTAATGTTTTTTACTCCAACCGCGTTCTCCACTTGCCCCTCCTCTCCCAGGCCTGCTCACGCACCACCCCTTCTCGTTGTCTATGTGTGGGTGGGGCATGCGCCGCGACTCCCCGACGGCAGAGCAGCCCGCTACACACGGCGCCCACAGTCGATATGCTCAGTGTGGAAACAAGCCTACGCGCACTCCATTCGATTGAGGACACGGTCAGTACCGTTGACGAACTTTAACTAGTATTGAGTGAAATCTGTTTCCGAACATTTTCTCGGTTTTACATCGAATCGAGGGGTGGACTTTCATTCATCCGCCGGGGAATCTCGTTATGAATTGGAACGTCAACATCGTTCTTCATTAATCGTTTGAATTATTTTTCGCGCCAGAGAGCCGAGAACCCAAGTCGCTTCGTAAATTTTCCCGTGAGTTTTTCCGCTCCGCCAACTCCGCGTGGTGTGAACAACGTGATCGGTGTTAGTGCCCAGTGACTGTTCGCACGCCGAGCGCCGTGGCTGTTGCACAAAATGAACCGCTGGCGCGGTTGCACGGTGCGCGGCGTGTGACGTCCGGCGGGGCCGCCTTCGACCCGCGTGACAACTCGCCGGACGCGATGTACGCCGGCCACGAGCTCTTCTCGCCCGAGGGAGCCTCCTGGTCCGTCAAGTACACCGGCATCCCCGTGTCCCCTTCCGTCTACGCGCGAATCAGGTCGTGGTTGCTGCAAGAGCAGGAGAACCCGGAGCCTGACCTCTACCAGGGTTCCCTCATCCTCAGGAAGGTAAATGCCGTCGGCGACATGTGCTAGTTCAGCTGCTTCTGTAGACACGCAAAATCAAAACCCGAAAATTTCGCGAGGAAGCGCCTACGTTGAAGTTAACTATGCAATAAATAAAGTGTGTCCGTTTTCCTCCCTTTTTACGGCAATTCTTTATTTCCTTATTAATTTTTCTCTTCTACGCTTGATGTCGACACAAACTTGATAGATTAGTTGTAACAGAAACGAAAAAAATAAAGTTCCGTTGTTTCAGAGAACACTTGCACTCCTATCGAATCAAGTCTTGGTATTTTAAAATCCCGTTTCAAACATACTTGGAATGAGTAAAGTGATCACTTAATGGACTTGTTTCACCAATTTTATTTGTTGTTTATTCAGAAATATGCTTTTGGACCTTATGTTTATTTTTATTTATAACGGAAATCCGAGTTCTTGAATATTCGAAAGTAATAAAATTACAAATAATTTAGTAGATTTTATCTTTTTTCTACACGGTTGTATTTTTTGTAATGTAGTGCAGTTCTTTTAGTCATGGCTTTTACAAAAATGTACAAGTATTATCATGTTATTGCACGGTTTTGTTCTCAAGTATCGTAATAGCTTTATATATATATATATATATATATATATATATATATATATATATATATATATATATATATGCCCCGGGTGCATCAGATCGGGAGAAATTTGAAACATTGGTGTTCTTAGCTAGAGATATATACATTTTCACGGTTTGCCCCCATTTCCACATCGAGGGAATCTCTCGGGCCTTCATCAATCTCTTTCACCTTCTCCCATCCACTCGTCGGTTGAGCAACTGCATAACTGACATATTAAAACAATTTAAATATTGATCTCGTAAACTTGCGAGATACAGATTTTCTCGTTCCGGATGCTCCCTTTTTTAATCTCAATTGATTCTTTCAGATCGTCCTCAATCTCTCTCTATCTCTCTCCCTCGTCCACTCTTCGGGTGCGCGGCCGCGCTCATCGATGCGCTGCAGATGGGGGCCATCAGCGCGAAAAGGCGTCGACCGGGGGAGGGGGAGGGGGTCAGTATCGTCGGGAAGCCGCTCCAACGCGCCCTATTGTCTGCGCCTAATTGGAAAAGCTCCTCGCCCCCGCAGGCCCTACCAGGAGAGGCTCCTCCGTCGGGCCAGGGCCAGGGCTGCGCGAAAATCAGTTACCCCGCACGCACGCTCGCTCGCTCGCTCGCTCGCTCTCGCGAAAATCGATACCTCCGCGCGCGCTCGAGATGTAGGTCAATGGTTTGTTGACGGGGAGGTCTGTGGTCTGCTCGGCGCGTGGCGTTCATCTCCCGTCACGAACTGTGCGGTTTCTTCGAGACGGCTGGTTCCCTCTATTTTTCGACAGGTACGGAGCCTGGGGGTAGGGGCAGGATTTGGGAAGTGATAGTTCGAATCAGTCTGTGGATTGTTTACTTCTCACTCTGCAGTTTTATTCTGTGAGATTGTTTCTCATCAATTCGGTGGGAACGCTCATGAGTGTTGTTGAGAGGTAAAGAGCACTTGAATTGATGCGATCAGTTCTGCTGTTATCGCAACTCAGTTATTTTAAACGTGCAAGTAAATGGTTCGTTAAACATAAAAATAAATGGATCTTTGGTCTCTGCAACGCGTGGCGTTATCTTGGGACTCTGTGTTTTATAGGGTCGGTTCGCTCCCTTTCTATTTCAGAACGTGAAGAGGGTAGTTAGACTGTTCGAAACTTGAGATTTAAAGTTTAATTGGAAATATTCAGTAATTCAGTTTTCGCAACTCGAATGTTTTAAATCTTAAGAATTTTCAACCACGGAATACGTATTCAGAAGTAGTTTTTACTTTTTGATGCTAAGTTTCTCTTGTTTGCTCTGTTTGGTTGCTGACATTTCATGTACGTACTTCGACGATGGTGGTCTCCAGTACAACGACTATTCCGTGTCCGCCGTCCGTGCGTCTGTTCGTCCTGTGAACAACGCTAGCGACTAAACCGTTCAGTCGATTTTCTCCAAACTTGACCTTCCTTTATAGATCTGGCTTATGTCGCAACCCTTTGAAATTGAAACAGATATTTTAATTTTTGGGGTACTTTACATGAAGTCCCTAGGACAGTTTCCAATTTTTTTGAAAAATGGCTCAGTCGTTTTTTTATTGTTGTAGTTTTTTTGTACGACAGTGCGAAGGCCGTGTTAGAGAATGGTGCAGGTTTCATGTTCGTTAAAAACTCTAATTTTTCGAAAATTGCAAAAGTTCAAAATGTTTTTGGAGTCTTTCTATATCTAAAATATTAAAAATTAAGATTCATGTACAATTTTTCGAAAATTTGAAAACTTTTCGCATAATTTTGCATGAAAATACTGAGGATAAAGTACGTTCTTTTTTAGCACCACTATGTGTGTTGATTTGATTGATGAGTCTCATACTCATTTCCGGGCATAGATGAGTTCGCCTTGAGTTCCATTTCCTGAGCAGATCAGCATTGTGGCGGCTTATCTTTGCCTTCTATTTTACGATAAATTGTGGAATGATCGTGGAGAGTAAATTATCGTAAATAAATAATCATATTGATGGGGTAATGATTGAACAGTAATACGTGGAGGTATGTCGAATCTAATGGGGAAGACACCCGGACCTTGCACGGTACTGAAACTCACAACCTTAAGCCCTGGGTGCTGCGTTACTACCTTAAGCCCTGACGTTGCTTCAAACCTGTCTGCCATTGAGGTTGTTTGACGTGTTTTGTGTACGAACATGATTAATCGTTGCGTTAGTGAGTGGTTTAGAGCTTGTTAAACCCGTACGAACATTCCGTGCTTTGTGAATAATTGAAGATAAGTGAAAATAGCTTAATGCTGAAATCCAACCTTGAACGTTTCTGACAATTGAATGGAACTACAAAGTGGGAGTATCCACCAAAATGGAATAGAATGTCCATGAAATATATCAATTTGTAGATAAGGACGTAAGAATTATAACTCGTTTGCCTCCGTTACGGGAAAACATAGTTTTGAGGACATACTAGGATGCATCGTTTCCGAATTACGCCCGACGGTGCGCTGTCGTTTGGTGCAGAGTATTGTGTTGCGGGTAACATACGACGTTTTTAGACCGTACTTCAAAATCTGCGAACTTTTATTTCTTCGTCTTGAATCTGTTTGATGCAGGACTGGGAGGGAAGAAGGATCACACTTACGATGTTTTGTTTTTATGTTGTTTGTTAAATGGACAAATGACGATGGATCAGTGGCAGTATGGACGTTGCCAGGGCAGTGACCGGGAGGTCAACGTTGATCTCCCAGTTCTGGGGTTCGTGCACCGCACTTTCAGCGTGTTTCCGCAATTGCGATTTGACTGCTGAGATCGGCAGACTTCTGCAAATAATACCAGGCAGCACCTTAATAAACGACATACAGACCGCGCGCTATCTATCCTTCCTCATCATTGTACTACCTCTACTCACATACTTACACACACATATGCTCACCTTCATTTTTCTACCACACGCTGCTAGGAGGCCAGACGGAAGTTTAGAATTTTTACTTCTCTGGTCGTTACCCCATTGCGCTCAAATACCTGTAGGGGGAAAACCCCGCAAGCCGTCTTATAAGTCGGCGCCGGATCTCACGTTTCAGTGCTGAAGGGACATCGCCACCTTCCCGGATATTATATATATTTACTCTTACATACACAAATGGATTTAATAAGTAATAAATTTGACGCACCCGCAGTGCTAAATAATCAGTCGGTCGTTGGATCTTGTAAACTGTATAAAACTGAAATATGTCCTTAGCGTTTTATAAATAGGGGACACTAGTGTTTTACATACCTCCTTAAGAGAAAGTCACCATGAATCATTCATCCGATGCAGATTTTTTCTCCTTCTTTTGAGCGGGTGGTGGGAAGACCTTCGCCGTCGGCGTCGAGGGGCCGCCTGTGACGCTGACGAACGAGAGCTCTCTCTCCGTGCCGTCGAGCCCTGCTGCCGCGCCCTGTAGATGGCGTTTCTGCGACGGAAGGACGCTCCACTCCACGCACCCACCCGCATTCGCTCTCGCGGACGCTTTTATTTTCTTTTGATCCTCACTTTTATTGAGCTCGAGCGAAGGTTGTTTTTGAAACGGTTTGTGTAGCTTTTCGCGGAGTACTTTTGGCTGGTTTTTAAGCAGTGGCGTTCGGAGTACGAAACTTTGGTTTCTTGGCAGATATATTGACATGTTGGAATTTTTGTGTACCCTAATTTTCTTAGTATATTAGATGCATGTGTGTATCTGTGTAAGATCTGATTTATATTTGTTCACGAAAAACATCTTACAGTATTAAAATATCCTTGGTTTCCTCAACAAAAACATTTCTTACGGGACGGAGGAGGCTGTCTTATTGAAGTGAATCACGTTTTTTTCTTTTAAAAATATTTTTCGAAACATTGAAACACTAGTATTGTAAGCTGTTAGTTTCATGGTCTTTGTTCTAGTTGCGACGTCCTCCTATCTACGTGTCAGATAAACCAGAGGTTTTCTCTCGTCGCCAACTCACTTTTAACTTTGACTCGCCTAGCTAAGCACGAAGAGCAAAAAAGGCCGCGCCGGGGCGCTCAGCACGTTGTCGAGTCCGTCTGTTATCTCAACTATTCTCGGAACGGCAATGCGCCACTATAGTTTCTTCTGTAATTTATTCTCGTAATAATCCTTACGCGAAGTTCTCCGTCCTTCAGATCTGTACCTGACGCAACAAACTATGTAAATTTCCTTCTCGTGCGGTAGTCCTATCGTTGCTCGAAACACGATTTGCCGCGGACCGACCCGGTTTAGGTCGGTGGCGCAGCCAGCACTGTTCAGACCGTCTTAGTTCCCGAAGATATTGGTGGAGGGCGCCAAAGTACGACGAAGTGCTAAGTTAAAAAAGAAGTTGGTTTATTAGTGCTTGAATGAGAAATAGAATTGCAACAAATCTTCTTGCCTATTAATGGCCTAAATACAAAGTAGGATGCTGTAGTAGACTATATTACAAGAACAAGTTTACCCTTCGTTC